TGTATGTATGTATGTATGTATGTATGTATGTATGTATGTATGTATGTATGTATGTATGTATGTATGTATGTATGTATGTATGTATGTATGTATGTATGTATGTATGTATATGTATGTATGTATGTATGTATGTATGTATGTATGTATGTATGTATGTATGTATGTATGTATGTATGTATGTATGTATGTATGTATGTATGTATGTATGTATGTATGTATGTATGTATGTATGTATGTATGTATGTATGTATGTATGTATGTATGTATGTATGTATGTATGTATGTATGTATGTATGTATGTATGTGTATGTATGTATGTATGTATGTATGTATGTATGTATGTATGTATGTATGTATGTATGTATGTATGTATGTATGTATGTATGTATGTATGTATGTATGTATGTATGTATGTATGTATGTATGTATGTATGTATGTATGTATGTATGTATGTATGTATGTATGTATGTATGTATGTATGTATGTATGTATGTATGTATGTATGTATGTATGTATGTATGTATGTATGTATGTATGTATGTATGTATGTATGTATGTATGTATGTATGTATGTATGTATGTATGTATGTATGTATGTATGTATGTATGTATGTATGTATGTATGTATGTATGTATGTATGTATGTATGTATGTATGTATGTATGTATGTATGTATGTATGTATGTATGTATGTATGTATGTATGTATGTATGTATGTATGTATGTATGTATGTATGTATGTATGTATGTATGTATGTATGTATGTATGTATGTATGTATGTATGTATGTATGTATGTATGTATGTATGTATGTATGTATGTATGTATGTATGTATGTATGTATGTATGTATGTATGTATGTATGTATGTATGTATGTATGTATGTATGTATGTATGTATGTATGTATGTATGTATGTATGTATGTATGTATGTATGTATGTATGTATGTATGTATGTATGATACCTAACTGACTTTCGCTTTCATCTTCATTTTCGGTGAATGTAAGCTGGAGGGGCATTCTGCTTAGTTCAGGACCAGAGGAATTGCCATCAAGCAAAAGACCAAAGGCCTCGTCTTTCCAGACAATGTCCCTGATAATTGCTCCATACTTACCATGTCGACAGGATGCTCACCAGACACACTTACTACGAATAGGGACAGATAATGCTGAGTAGCATGAACTACATAGTCTGCAGGAATATCGAGCAGCTTCACGGATCTGGTTCCGTAAAGCATTGAACAAGTCCAAGACTGATACTCTGCAACTTGCTAGAGATGATTTGACCATCTTCCGTATTTGTTTCAATGAAAACATCAATCAGACCGGGTGTTGGCTCACGTGGTTCGAATTCAAATACCACGGGAGTTTTATGGATTTCTTCTTCACCAAAACCATCATATGTGGCATTGGCGTCTAGTGAAGCAGTTTCACCATGATTATAATCACTCACAGGAGGTTGACCAAGAAGAAAAGGTATATGATATGTTCGAAAAGACTCATATGGAGCTGGCGATGAAAATTTCAACATTGTTGCACATAAGGCGGGCAGAGCTTCTACTCCATTTAACCTATTTTTGGGGACTCGTCTCCCCATACATGATTGAAGGGCTCGGAATCAAATCTCAAATTGCATGGAAGTTTAATCTTAACCCCTGCCGTATGTCTAAAATCAGGAATGCAAGAGAAATGTCTCAATATCTCCAAAATCTCTGAGACTTTGGAATCCATAACATATAGAGGAACCCATGGTTTATCCACTCTCTCATCTCCTGATGTAATCTGAAATTGAATATTGGAATCAAGCTCTCTTTCATCTATTGAGGCTTCACTATCCCTAATACCACCAAAACTTTTTGATTTGTTCCCAACCCCAAAAGGTAAAAAGATAAAGACCAAGACTGTTTGACAAGTAGCGGTATCATCCGCTCAATATGGATATACGATGAGATATTCCTAGATTTATTGCGATCCTGATATTTTCGGGGAGATTGCATGCTAAAGAATGATTTGGATTGAGATGAGGAGGAAATACCAAGGTGCTGTTCTCCGAGTTTTAGCATGCCTCTAAGCTTTACTCCAGGCACGCAAATCAGCATCCTCAAGTAGCTCCTGTAAAATGACATAAAATAATCAATCTCTTCCAATTATTCCTTATTGACTATTTTCTTCGTTCTGGATTGACAAGAAACCGCAGCTAAGGTTAAGATGAATGGAAAAGAGTAAAGGAAAAACAATGCATTCCCTTCAGGATACCTTGCATGGTCATGAACCTCCAAATCAGGGAAGTAAAAACAGGTGAACGCAAGGAGACGAGATATTCCAAGGAATAATCTAGAGCTCTGATGGTGAGTCAACATGGTTCTGCAAATATCAAGAACCTTAGTACCATGAGACCAAGACTTCTCCCCGCAAGTGTCCGGGCCATGTTTCCCAACAAGGAAAGCTATGAATTTAGTTAGCAGCTCTAACGATTTACGAGGAGGTATTATTTGATTTTCAGCAAATCTGTTAAATAGTATGAAGTATGAGACTATTCCATAATCATTTACGAGTCTAGTATGAAGATTTTCATCCATTGTTTGGAGCAGGCGCTCTCCCAACCAATGATGCTTGTCACAGCCTAACAAACGGTCAACACAGGCAACAATGACTGGGTCCAATCTCTGAAACTCTAGTTTCATGTCAATCAGCATCCCCTTAACAAAAGAAGTAGCAAACATCAGCACAACAGCATTTTTTATGTTTTATTTAGTTTTTGGTAGCTAGGACTTAGGATGATATAAATCATAAACTTCGACTTCTCTACTTCTACATCAATCTTCCTGCACCCGTTATACCATGCCATCAAAACAATTATACAATCTAAAAGATAATCTATTTCAGAGAAAATCGATCCCTAATGGATACTCCATGTGCTAAGTACATGTTAATTGTGCTTGTGAAGGCATCAAAACAATTCAACAAGCTTGCAACGAGCTATGAGGTCAAATTTGGAATTAAGTACAATTGCCACCCTAAAACATGTGGCAAAAAGACTTGATGGATTTAAATTCTTGAGGACATGCTTTGGGCTTGTGTGATTGATCTAAAAGGTAATTGGGACTCTTGATGATTACTTACCTTTGACAGAGTTTGATTAAAATAGCAGTTATTAATTTAAAATTGTAATGCCACCTTTTGAAGTCTTTTATAGAAGGAAATGTCGATCCCTTTATGCGGGGATGATGTAGCTTGAACTACAGACATTATAGTAAAAACAAAATGTGCAGGCTACCAGAATTAGTCATTTAGGCCACCATGTGTCAGTTTCACTATATTCTTTTTACTGTAAATAGTCAAAATAAGTTGTTTAAGTTCTGATATATTTAAATCACCAAGGATAAGTTAGCAATTTCAGGTGAGAACTAAGTTTCCAGATTGAAGGCAAGTATAACCTCACCCTAACACACTTCGTCTGTTTCAATAAATAAGCTAAATATTTTATTTCTACATATCCTCTACATGAAAGTAGGATTATGCATATGATTATTTATTGGTTTTGTCTTACAAATATGATGAATTGAGTTTATGAGTGAGAGATGAAGTTTTCTAGTTATGTTCCAAAGAATATTCCACGAAAACAATGAATGATCCCTAAAAGTGAGATACTTGAGATCAGGACTAGTTTCGTCCTACTAACGAGCATACAACCCAACCAATATATACAGAAATTTTAGTAAAATTTCATTGTTCAAAGGCGTATAGGCTTCATATTATTTTAAAGTATAGCTCAAGGTAATACGGCTTCTTTCAAGGTAATATGATTGTGAAAAATGGAGTCTGAGATATCGTTGCACACTTGCACTCGATCTCCTGTTTTGCGATAAGTTTTACTCAAGAAATACATGCAACACCTATGAGAAACCAATCAAATCAATATAAATCGTTACCGTCTCTAGAAGGACTAACTTGTAATTTTTGCACATATCAATTATTAATACTTCTGCAGGAAAAGCCTAACCATAATGTTTAGATTCAGGAGGATGGCCAAAGAAGGATGATATAAAGAAAAAATAAATACCTTTAAATGACTATAGAAGGCAGATTCCATAAGTTCATTAGTTGTGGAAGGATCAGCTTCACAATGAGATGATGGGCCCATCAATAACTTATGTAAGGTGCTGAATGCCACTGCAGTCTCTGCGCTCCAATGAGGCAACCATTTGAAAGCTGAAACAGATGTTAGACCATTTCGAAATAGCTTCACCACTGACTTCCCATCCCCAACATCCATATTTGAGGCACTTTGAGCTTTCAATGCATCAATACAAATGGAACAAAAAGCAAGAAAATCAAGCTTTATGGCTTTCTGTCACACCCCAATTTCGGGGTCAAATTATAAGTTTTTGAAACTTATAGTCAGTTTTAGGATGTTGCAGGAAATTTGGAGACCCAACTCTGAATTTGCCCATTTTCTGTTAGCAGTGAAAAATAAACTCGATTAAACCCCCGATTTCGAAGAACCGAAATCCCCCAAATTTTACCCTAACCTAGCGTTCGCCACTCTATCAAATCAGCACCGTTCGGCCTCCTTTGGAGAATCGCCGTCATGCCCTCCGAGCTCACCATCGACCGGCAACCTAAACCCAAGCCTTAAATAGCCCAAATCGGCCGCTGCCCGTCGCGAATTAGGAGAAATCGTCAAAACCCCGATCGCCTTCCCTCCTTCGATCCGCCTTGCTCCGGCCGTCGGTGAGCGTCACTGCCTCCTCCATTTGAAGCACCATGACCGTGCGTCCGAAACCCCTAAGGTCAATTGTAAAAAACCGTTGTCGTTTGCCGTGGGGAGCTTCCAAGGTTCGTCGAGAATTCCTAGCACAATGACCACATTTTTTTCTCGATTCCAGCCGATCGAGACGTCAGCTCGCCTCACCGCCACCATAGTTAAACTCCTCGTCACCGTCCGACCAGAACCCGACCAGGTTTGTCTCCATCACCGCTATTTTCGTCGATCGTCGGTTTGGGTAATGTTTCGAATGTTATTTTCGGTTGATTTAAGTTGTTTTGGATTGAATATTGGACTATTGTGGATTAATTTAAGTTGTTTTGGATTGAATATTGGGCTATTGTGGATTAATTTAAGTTTTGAATGTTATTTTCGGTTGATTTAAGTTGTTTTGAATTTGATTGTTGACTTTGACAAAAAAAGTCAAAATTTTCGAAAAGTCATATTTGATGTTTTTCAACATCCTGAGTCCGAATCTGAAGTCTGTTTTTTGCCAAATTTGCACTCGGTAAGCTGTTTTTCAGTGTTTTATCTTCGAATTCAATTTGGTTCTCAATTAAGTTAAGTTTATGACGTAAATTCAGTTGTCTGAGGAATTATTGGATGTTGAATTCAAGTTCGAGAGTGATCGAATGGAGTTTAAATGTTCGATCGGTGGAGCACAAAAATCAAGATAATATTTTACTACCTTTTGTATGCTTTCCGGAACTTATTGATAATTGGTAATTGCATTGATGAAATGATTGGTCCTTTGGGTAAAATTAATTATTTTCGGACCCGAACAAAATTTCGGTAAAAGATAGTAAACTGTATAAGATTGAGATGTCTCGCATAAGAAAGTGGAAGATCGATCGGAAATAATTATAAGTTCAGTGATTCATTAATAAATGAATTGACTCCAAGATCCTTAAAATTTTGATTAATTTCTTTAGAGGTTAAATATCGGGAATATTTGGATAAGAAATTACCAAAAATAGCCCTATGGGGTAAAATTACAAAAAATGTCATTGTACTGTAAAAGACAGACTTCCTCTGATGGTGAAAAATAACCCTGAAAGGATATACTTGACCAATTATTAGAAAAAGTGCATATTGTTTGGATGGAAATGAATTATCGAAATATCCTCGAGCTACGAAATAACTAAAATAGCCTCCAATAATCAAATGAACAAAATACCCTGAACTCTAAAGGAACTATAATACTTTGAAGCCTAATTTATCGAAAGTAATGTCACTTACAAAATTGAAAGGAATGACGATAATACGCTTAAAATGTAAAAAGGATTATGGATGGCTATGATAATGGAGATGACCTGAGAAATCAAATTTTGATTCGCTTGAACCTTGGAATCACCAATTAAATTCATGATCTATTTGAAAAACCTCAAAAATAAACTTATACATTTGGAAATTCTTAATACGGCGATCCCCTTATTTTTTAATGATCATTTGAGGATTAGATTACTGGAAGTGCGACATGTCATTGAAGTATTTAAATGATGAATTATTCTCAAGTTTTGATATAACTAATGTGCATGGACCCTAAAATGACTAAAATAACCCCGAATGACGAGATGATCTAAATACCTTTATGACTTGGATTAAGTGAATGTCTTTGGATAGACTATGAGAACATCGATGAACCTAAATGATGTACTGCCTCTAAAGGTTATGGAGCACGACCCAAGTCATCAAACATTTTGGGATGCTATTACAACATGGAAATGAAATAAATACCAACAAAATAACTATTTGTCTCCTCAAGAACTGATCAAGGATGATTCTGAATTGATCAGATTAGTTGGTGCAGTCAATAATACGAAGTGAATAATAGTGAAGTATCACGGTCCTAATGATTAACAAGTATCGCAGTATTGGGATTTGTAGTTCAATCGGCCTAATGATTAACAAGTATCGAAATCCTGTTAATTCAATACATAATCTGGAATACCACAAACCATTTCTCTATCCTTATTGAGTTAAGTTACTGAGAATTCTATAAGAATCAAAATGTCCGGAATACTCATATTTGTCTGAATAATGGGAACATTCATATTATATCTAAATCTTCAATAACTCTGATGTAAAAGATTTTGAATGCCTTCCTGATTACTCAATTACCTCGCAAATATCTTAATATTGTATGATCTTGATAAATCACTTCCCTAATGAATGGTGAATCAGTTAGCCATCAAACCTCCTTTTATAGGGATCTTAATTTTGAAATCCTATTAAATTACAAAAGTTTCATGGTTCTCTACCTGATAAATACCAAGTATCTCCGAATAATATCCGAATCCTCTAGTGTGTTCCTTATGTGACATGTAAATGTTTTATATGTTTTAAAATGTGATTTCCCGAAATCATTAATTTCCTGATTTATTGGTTTATGAACTATGGTTACCTGAAATGTGTTATTTGGTTTCCTGTTTTCACTTGAAAATATAATAGTTCCTGATTTATGGATCATGGAATCTATTGGTTACTACTTGAACTGTTTTATTGGGACATTATCTGGGTAGGATACTGGAGTATGAAGGTTCAACTCGATCAAACTGGTAATTGCTTATATAGGTTCAGAATGATCGAGCTGGTAATTCTTTATGAACCTAAGGTGACCTTTGGGTAGGCTCTGAGGCCCCGAGAAACTTTCTTGGGTAGGTTCTCAGGCCACAAGGCACTCCCGTGGGTAAATCATGGGACTGCATATGGTGTGTGGGTAGAGGGCATTTATGTGATTTAAATAGCTACATGATCATTTTTACTATATACTACTGGATCATTATTTTGATATTAAAGTTACTGCTCATTCTGATTTCTACTGGGTACTGTATGGGTAGGTTGAAGTATGCTGGTTCAGCTCAGTCAAACTGGTAATTCCTTATATAGGTTCAAACCGATCGAGCTGGTAATTCCTTACGGACCTAAGGAGACCCTTGGGTAGGCTTCGAGGCCCCGAGAAACTTTCTTGGGTAGGCTCTTAGGCCTCAAGGCATTCCCTTAGGGTGGCTCCTTTCTGTGTGCTTAGGGTAAGACCTTATGGATGCAGTTATGGGGAACTGCATAAAGGTGTTCGGTTGGAGGGTTATACTATGGTTTTAAAAATATGTTTTAAATTGTTACTGTTTTAAAAAGATTTGTATCTCTTCGTTGTTTTTGTTGGAATACACTAGACATCATATTCCGATCTCCTGAAGACTTGGTACTCTGAATGTTTCCTATGAACTGAAATCTTCATGACTTTTACTCGATGAAGTATCAGTGGAATCTCAGCTAATTACGAAAATTGATAGACGGCTGAGTAAATAAGGAAAATTTATGGTGTTCCTTTTATCCACATGTCCTTCAGTATCACTTGGTAGTTTTGTATTACTAAGCTTCCCAGAGCTCACTCTTTTATTTACCATTTCAAGTTAAAAGAGTCAAACCAATGCAACTATCGACATTAGTACAGGAGTTCCACCGGCGTTGCTAGCGAAGTACGGTGCATGTGATTAGGGGCATGTAGGTTGTATTCTGTTTTTTTATATCTGAGTCTGAAATCTGTTTTATTTTTTGATATTGTTAAATTCTATTTTTAATATATATTTTTTATGATATTACGTGATTTAACAAAAACTTTAAATTTTCTGAGATTTTTACGGTAGGTCGCTCCAGTGACCCTAATGTGACACCTCAGATCGAATCGGGTTACCCGCATCGTTATGTGGGTGTTACACTTTCAATGAAAGTGGATCTACAAACGAGGATAAAACATGAAACTCATCTTTATAATTGACTTCTTCTCCATATCTCCATTCACCATAAATCTATTCAAAAAAACCCATCAACCAATGCACTGACAGCAAGCGAAAGACCAAATACTGATGTATTTCCAATGAAACAAACAAAAGCCTTCTCATAATCTCTTTCTCCTTCTCATTAAACACCCCCGAAACCCACGAATACATGATCAAAACAACATGACATAATACAGGATGAAAGGAGTTAATCAAAACGAAAAACTGAACTTTCAGCATAGATGGCTGAAAATCCAAAGCTACCGCTAGCGGCATTACCATTCGCATAAAAGCAATCATCCCACAAGGAGTTAAAACCCATGCCATTCCAGTAAAAACGCCATGGCTCTTCTCAATTCCTTATAATTCAGCCCAAATGCAACCCCTGACCCTTCCTTTTCCGGTCCTAAAATCCATTGCGGAAATTTAAATGGGACTAGAGGAACAGAAGTACACAAAATAGAAACACTCAACTTTCGACTCGCAATACCATAAAGCACTGTTGTAAGCAACAAAATGTAACTCTGCGATGCGTGAGTTCGCTCGCTTTAGCATAAACTCCATAAATGGCTAGTAATATCGGAAAGTAAACAAGGGTAAGCTTTTTCCAATTCACGTAAACACTCACAGGAAATGGGGCAAGCGTGGCGGTCCAATCCATGGTTCAGACGGTTGATAACAGCCAGTAAAAGCTCGAGCACGGCTTCCGTACAACGAAGCTCGACGGTTTCAACGGAATTAGTCGAAATCATTATCGAGGTCGTCGAAGCCAACATTTGTTCTTTCAAAGCGTAGGTTATGTGGAGGCCATCAATCGGGGATTGAACGATGGGCAGAAGGGATTCAACGAGACGGTCCAAAACGGAAGGGAGGGAATTCGAGGGAACAAAGGATGGGAAAACTCGTCGAGGAAATTCACGAGTTGGATTTTGAAAGAGAATTCCTTTTTGAGAGTGGAAGAAAGGGCAAGTTCAAGGAGAGATGGGTAAAGGCAACTCCACTTCTCGCGACGAGCACCTCCGTGTCGGATGTCTTCCACTAAGGATTCCCAGTCTTGAGGTGAAACTGGTTTTGGCGGTGCTTTTCAGCCATTTTCGAACTCCGATTTGAAATTCTAGATCGGGTTTAAGTGGAAAAAATCGACGTTGTAAATAAAAATATTTTTCAATTATAATCAAAATAAATATTTTTTTAATATTTAGAATAGAAATGACTTTGTTTTTATACAAAAATAGAAATGACGTTGTAAATTCTAATGTTTTCAACGTTATACTATTAGGTGTTTGTACGTTAATCGCCGTTAAATATCTATGTTAAGTCATATTCTAGTAATTTTGATAATTTATTTAAAAAATAAATATATATTTATTAAAAAATAAATATAACTTTTAAAAAAATCTTTTTCAAAACAATTCCCCCTTATCACCTC